AGGTGGTAAACCGAGTTCTGACCTGTGCGGATTGACGAGTTGGAAGTCATCCCAGGTCAGGATGCCATGGTACCAGGCAGGCGCTTTACGTTTAGGTGGGTCCATGATGAACTCCGACTTGGAGTCCTCATCGAAGCTGCCTACTGAGTACGTCTCCTGGCTCTCCTCGGTGGACGCCTCTGACTGCACCTCTGACAGCCAGGGCTGCAGCTGATGTCGTTCTGAGACATGGCCGGGTAGCGAGCTCCGGGACTGGTACAGCAGCTTGCTCATATTTGATTTAATGTCCCCCATACAGAGCAGTTTGAAGAAGGGCTGGGACACTGGCAGGTCCACCAGACGGTTGTCTTGGATGCACTTTGCTAAAAAGATTCCCAGGAAATAGAAGAGTTTGGTGATTCGCTCCAGCTCCTCGCTGTCCTGAGGAAAGGGGGCTGAAAACAGTCCACAAGAACGCTGCACATAGAAACCAGGAGGCTTCAGGCCGCCGCCCAGGTCCACCTAAAGCCCACAGGGACAGAGTCATCAGGACCACCAAAACCATAACCACACTGGGATCAGTGAGACAAACCAGTCTATACGTCAAAACTTTGATCAAATGAAAATAAAAACATGACTTGCTGCTCTGACTGTGTGCGAGTCTGACCTGTCGGGACTCGTCGTCAGGGAAGTCATCGTCACACAGCCAGATACCCAGAGACGTCCTCTGAAACTCAGCGGCCACCAGAGCATAGAACTCCAGAGTGGGACCGAGACCAGTTCCCTCTTCACCCTGAAACTCCACCTGAACACAGGAAGCTCCATCAGGTGGATCTATGGTCTGCTGCAGAGGACGTTTACAGTATTCCGTTTGTGTTTCACGTTCAAACAGATGACAGATGAGTCAGAATCAGGTGTTTTTTTTTTTTTGCCATTTGTGCGAGACATCACAACATTAGGAAATTGCTGAGTCATCTCTCATCATCTCTAATTTACAGGATGTGAAAACTGCTGAATCTGGTAATCTGAGTAACACTTCTACATTCAATCATGAGGAAAAACTTTGACCTCTCACCTCCAACACTGACTTCCTATCAGCATGGATCTGCATGACTGACTCCGCCCACTCCATCATGGAGTCTCCTCGAGGGACTTTGACCCGCTCGTGTTTGAGTCGACCCACCCTGAAGTCTCCAGGGTCGTCCCTCCTTACGGCGGTGGATGGTCGGGACCGCTCCATGGTGGCCTCCCGTCGGTTTTGTAGCCACACAATTGCCCTGAACAGCAATCACAGCGCTTTACTACATCCTACACCCTCACGAGGGTTTACTTCATTACACCTCAACAGGAACACAGACTGGCCTCTAAATCCAGAACACTTCCAGAGACCATAAGAATGTTCACGTTGACCCAAAATCCAGATGTGCAGTTGGTCAGGTAACAATCGCTTCATGATTTAAGGTGGATCTTAGCGTTTACTTTCTATCCTGATGGGACTAAAATCATCATGGTACCAGAAATGTAACTAGGACATTAGTGTAGGGGTTTGTGCTCCACCGGGTTTAGAGCTTGGTGTTTTTCCCTGGTCGTCTGTTGCCTTTGAGTACACTTGTGTAACCATTTAACTGCTGACAACTGGTCAGGGTTAGCACTGATGAATGGAAACACCTTAATAAAATAAGATGCTACATTTTTTCTAGTGCAGTTGTTATTTTTAATATCCTTACATATCAGTTTTGAGTGTTCATATCTTTATATTCAAATGTCATCAGTAAGAATATTATTTGGACATGGATATTTTATATTATTATGTAGAACAGTAATTACAGAGAGGTGTAGTTGATTAAATGTTAAAACAGCTTGCCGCACTGGCTTGTTGTAGACAAATACAGGAGGAACATAGAACAACACTACTAAACTACTACTTTTAATATTACTGTTAATAACTTCAGTCACTAATGTAATCCGACTCAGAGCTTATTTGCCTGTGTGATGATATCAGAGCTGATAAGTTGGGGGTGTCACAACTTTTTCTGCTGGCTCTGCAGATGGACGAGCCATCGCTCTGAATTTGTCCTTTAGCAGCTTTGGGAATCTAAAATATTCCCTCACAGGAGACTTCAAGCACTTCCCAGGTGGAAACGGAGCGGCCCGGTGGTTTTTGCTGGTGCTGCTGGCAGCGTCCGTTTAGATTGGCTTTTATTTGCTGTGTTGGAGACGTCTTTACAGTGGGTTCACTGCAGCGGTTCACACCGTGGTTAATAGTCAAACTGGTTCATCCCTGCAACCCTAGCTCAGACTACCTCTCATTTCTCCTCCTCAGCTGGTGTCAGACTCACCTGGAGGCCCCAAAGGCAGTGCAGGTGAAGTACAGCTGTCTGGTCTCAAAGGGGATGAGGAAAGGACACTTTGCGGTGAGCTGCTCGCACCAGTCAGGCAGTGCTCCGCTGGCGACGGCCAGCGGCTCCTGGAACATCAATCACATTTAGTTTAGGCCTGTTTGGGTCAGCAAGGCCACCTTAACCCGGTTTAACAGCAACATTAACTTCCTAACAGCTTCAATCGCTTAAGACTCAAAACTTGAATTTCAGGTTTGAACAGTGAAATAATTTCAACCTAATGTTTTAACTTGCAGGTTACGGAGCTTTGTAAAATAGTAACAGTAACTAAAGTGGGCGGGGCTTAGTGTGGTCTGAGCCACAGGTCAGCCATGCTGCCTATTAAAACTGGTTGAAGGGTTATGAGTGGGGCGTTGATATTGTGGAACGACGGGAATGTTGACCAGAACACACGGACCTCTATCTGCTGTAGGATCTTGGTGGTGATCTTCTTGCTGGTGAACTCCTCTGGAGATGCATTGAACTGCAGCTCGTCAACATCTACACACAGATATCGGTGTCAGAGGAGGAAATGGGAACCGGTCTGTGGGAAAACTGGACTTTGTGTGTGTGTGTGTGTGTGTGTGTGTGTGTTTTGTACCTTCCTGCAACGTGCGAGCATTAGAGGTGGAGTCTCTTCCAATGATGTAGAGGATGCGCAGCAGCTGCAGGACATCCTCCACCCCACAGGCGTTCTGGCTGCAGCCTGCTTTAGCCTGAGCTGCCTCTCTCACCCAGCCCAGGATCTCACTGCTCTGACTGGCAGGAACTAAATTTGGACTCAGACCGCCTGAGCGACCTCCGACCCATGTGCTTTGTTCGAACAATTCCTGAAAACAACGGGTCAGAGGTCAACACGCACAACTGAGGGGTTGGTTTGCGTGAGGCTAGAGTAGATTGAGACTCACCATCTTCCCATTGTCTTTTTCTTTATCGGAGTCTTTCAGCTCTCGGTACATTATCCTGCAGAACAACACTGATGGTTACAACCCAAAAGTGAGAGTTTGCTTCGAGTGGAAGCTGCTGGCTGGATTGTGTCTCACGTGTATGTGGGCTCCCAGATGCGACGCAGCTTGTCAGTTTTCACGGAGCCGCTGCACGAGAGCTGCAGGAGCCTCTGGATGTAGTAGAAGATGGTTAGCCTGTAGTTGGAGAGAGGAAGTTCAACCTCTCGTGTTGTCCCCAGCCCTGCAACCTAGAGTGAGAGAGACACACCCAGAGTTATCATAACATAATACCAGGCTGAAGAGGGGCGCTCAGATACGCCTGTTTCAGGAAGTAGAAGTCAGCTGGAGAAGAAAGTAGCTTCGGACGACAGGATCTGGAGTCTTATTTTCTGATATAAGGATATCTGGCTCGTGTGTGTGTGTGTGTGTGCGTGCGTGTGTATGTATATATGTGTGTGTGTGTGTAAATGAACATGTGTGTGGGTATACATGTTCTTATGTGTTTTTAGGTATTTTTATTCTCATTTATTGTGGTTTTTGTATGTTTTAGAGAGCGAACATCTACCGAAGCCAAATTCCTTGTAAATGTAATTTTACTTGGCCAATAAATCTGAAATCTGGAGAGTGCTAATGCTCTTTTCTCTTCTACTCCCTTATCCCAAAGCTGTTTGTCCTGTCTTTGTCTGCCAGAGCGCTTCTCCCATTCCTTCTGAAAACTCAATTTAAAAAAAAAAACCTCGGATCTAGTGAGCTGGGCTCTGCATGAAATTGATTTAAAAAAAAAACGTTATCGGACAGAACACACTCGATTGAATACATTATATTCCACATCTTCCAGGAATCCATATTGTGTCTTTCCTTGCTCTTATGTGAAAGACACAGAAGACGTATGGATTTTGGGATGAATAATTACTGGGTTCCAGCGGTTAGGAGCAGGCGTTTACATGGTATCCCGGAAAACTAGGGAGCTGATGGGGGTGACTGGAAGTTCTCTGGGGCTATGAGAAGGTATCTGCCATGCTATGAACACTCAGACGTTGGTCGAGATGAATCACAAGCTAGACGCCCTAAGCAGTTATCTGGCTGCGATTCCTGAACAGAATGGATTCCAGCATGGACAGAGTCGCTGCACGGTATGGTAGACATTAAACTTCATCAATCAGCTGTTTGCATGTCCTTGAGACCAGCAAAGACTGAAGGCATGGAGAAAACTCCTCTGGTCAGTTCCAAAACAATTAACTTTATATGAATCCGGCCCCCTCTTATTAGTCTCAGAGGCTGAACACTTCAAACTCCCACAGAATGAATGTGGACAGATGCTTGAATGCTCCCTTCCCCAATTCTGGTTGGAAATGTGGTGCACTCGATTGGCTCGCAGCTGATCTGAATCTTGAAGGACTACATTCCTCCATTTTTCCCCACACGCTGAAGAGGTGCAAACTCTCTTGATTGGACAGGAGTCCCAGCCCCTCCCTCCCACCATTTGTGGATTACATTGTTATTTTCAGCCGCAGAGGACCTCTTGTTTTCATTTTGCTTCATCAGCAACTCTTCTAATATTAATGATGGTCGTTTTGGACAGTGTCTACTGAGGATGTCATTTCCTACTGAAATACAACCAATCTCGATAAGAGTCAGAAATTTCGATGAAGATACATTTTCGATTTACTGCCCAGCTCTAGCGTGGAGCAACTAAAAGTTCCGCTTAACAACGCCACCGGAACATTACCTACCCCTGTTCAGGTACTCAGAATGTTCCTGAAAGCGGCCCGGAAAATGGCCTGTTTGGCCAGCCCAGGAAAGTTCTGGAGAATTAACCCAGAATTTCCGACAGTGGAAAGACGGCCATTAGGACATAATCAGGATTAACAGCTGGTGTCTTACCTTCAGAGTGAGAGAAAGGTGAGGAGAGGGAACACACTCCACTTCCTCCCGAACTTCTGAACGAGGAATCCCTAAACCTGAAAGGAGGTGATAACCTTTACTGAAAATGTTTTTGAATCATCTGAATGAGGACAGGCTCTGCCCACACAGGTCACAGCACCAGCTTTGATGAGATTCAATGCACAAGGACAAGAAAAGCAAGAATCATCTAGTTAAAGTTTGAAGGAAATATTCTTTAGGGTGTGTGTGAGTGTGTGTGTGTGAGTGTGAGTGTGTGTGTGTGCGCGCGCGCATGCACACTTGCACACGTGGTGTACCTGGCGAAGGGATCTCCAGGTCAGTGGTCTGTTGGACATTAGTTCTTCCTGGTCGGGGGTCAAAGGCAGGGACCAGAGCAGAAAACTGCCTCTTTAGAACAAAGTCATCGTCCCATGTCCTCCTCCTACCCCCTTTAGTCTCATACTCTTCCTCTTCCTACAGGACACAACACACACACACTTATTACACCATAATCTGACATCATTTCCTGTTACCTGTAGTCTTACAGACAGGTAAAGCACTAAGCAAAGATTTTAGAGTGAGCAGGTTGGAGCTGAGACACAGAGCTTGTGGAAAACTACTCCATACATACCAGAACTTCCTCATACTCCTGGTCCTCTTGGTTGTCATCTTCATTTTCATCATCATCATCATCGGGCTCTGGAAGGTCCTCCTCATCGTCCAACTCAGCCAACAACGTGTTGGCACGGCAACTGTCCAGGAAGTCTTTAGAGTCGGAGACAAGCAACCTTTAGGTTCCAATCACACCTCAGGCAAAAGCAGCACACATCCTACGTATTCGCAGCTACGTGACCAGAATGCGATTCTGTTCAGTCTGATGTTTTCTAATCCGACCCTGGCCACTCTCACATGTTGTCCTAAATTAGATGTTTTTCTAAGCTGCTTCAGTTTGCCGACATGTCACGGGTTATCTGACATTTACATCTTTAACATGTGACAATGGGCAAAACATGCTTCTCTTTATTACCCGGTCAGTTTTGCTGGTTCCAGTTGAACCAGTTTGTGTGTGTGTGTGTGTGTGTGTGTGTGTGTGTGTGTGTGCGTGCGTGCGTGCGTGCGTGCGTGTACCGACCATAGAGAGAGAACTCTGCCTCCTGTCCTGTGTCACTCTCACTGGATGTAGACGTCAGGCTTGTTGTCAGCGTGTTGCTGAGCAGCTGTCCGACTGACAGACCCGTGGGTGCTGTGGCAACATTGTTGCCACTAGTGACGATGGAGGTTGACATGGTAACAGTGGAGGTGGTACCAGTGGTGGTGAGGTTAGGAAAGCTCTGAGCTCCCATGAGAGGAGAAGCTGTAAACACAAAGCAGGAGAGGTAAACGGCTGGAATCACACAACGAGTGTTTATCTGAGCTGAATCACGGGAGATCTAAAAGACAACACTTCATGCAGCATTTAAAAGTCAACAGCTGTGGAACAGTTCAAATATGTGGCCTATCCTGGAAGAGGAAGACCAGTCCAGTACCACATGGTGGTTGAACTTGGGTTTGCTGGATTCTGCTCATTTCTAACACAGCTCCAGACATTAAAAAGGGTTCTCTGTTTTCTCGCATATCAAGAAGATATTTCTCTAAATGTCAGAAACTAAAGTCCGTCAGTAGAAACCGTAATGTGAACAGATTTTTTATCTAATGAGTCGTCTTCCTTTAAATCTGGACTGAGATGTGTCAACGTGTTTTATTTATCAGCAGTGATGTGATTCATTAGCTCTAATCTGGATATTCCAGGACTAGTCTTTTATCTCACCGAGTCATCAGGCCTCATCCTCAGAGACCTCATTTATTTCTAACAGGAAGTGGTGAGGCAGCAGTACTCACTGGCTGTACTCATGACATTCCTGCCCAGAGTGTTGGTGTTGTTGTCACTGCTGCTGCGGCTCAAGTTCATGTTGTTGGTGGCGTTGGTGCGCGACATGTTGGGTGCACGACGGACAAAAGACTCCACAAAACTGGCTTCTCGAGATGAGAGGTTGGGCACGCTGGCACTGGAACTCATGGGGGCGCCGGCGGCCATGAGAGAGCTGACAGAGAGTCGTGTGTTGGTTGCTGGGCAGAGAGGCCTCTGGGAGTGCGTGTCCTTACTAGAAGACTCTGACACGGAGCTGACATCAGGGGAGCTGACGCTCACCAGTCCCATAGAGATGGCTGAGGCCGGGTCGGTGGCAGCCGCTGCGGAGGGAGAGTGGTGTTCTAACCCAGTCCCTGCTGTGTCAGCAGTCAGTGTGCTGGAGCTGGACGCTGAACCAGATCCACCCTCAGCCGCAGAGGACAGCACAACGATCGGCTCCTGCTGGTGTCCGTCACAGCTGATCCCTCCTCCGGTTACTCTTCCCACAACCCCACCATGGTCGAGCAGCAGACCCTCAGCCCTTCTCTCCAGGTGCAGACCCCCAGAGCCGGCAAGCCCAGCAGAGGAGCTCAAACTCATATCAGAAGAAGAAGCAACACTGCAGACGGAGCTGCTGCTTCCCTTTCTGCTGGAGGAGCTGGCTCCACCCTTGTCGGGGCAGTTATTTTTCACCAGACTGCTCCAAGAAGGCTGCTGGGTAGAAGACAAGGTGGAGCATGAGGAGGTTGAAGTAGTGGTGGTGGTGGTTCCGCCGACAGCTGCTGGTGTCACAGGGGGTCCCACCGTGGATGAGGCGGGACCTGAAACAGTGGATGAGACAGGTTTGGGTGACGGCGCAGTGGCAGCCAACTCAGGGTCGTACCCTGGAGCAAGCTTGAGGTCAAACTTCCCTTCAGCGCCCATACGATAAGAGTTAGAGCCACCAGCATCCCAGGTTACATCAATCCAGCCTGGATGGACAGAGAGATAGGAGGGAGACGGACGAATCGATGTCAGAGCCCCGAAAGAGAGGGAAATACAGAGAGAGTGGCAGAGGGAAGTAGACAGCAGACAAGCAGCTTACATTCAGAACAGCTCCACACCAAACAAAACTGGACTAATGTATAATAAACCATGAACTCAAACCTAAAGCTAACCCTAGAAATCATTTGGTTTGTTGTTTGGCCTTCTAAACCACCTTTCAGAACCAGCTTATGTTAACATGTTTGTCATAAACATTCCTTCAGTCAGATTTTAGGAAATCTGATTGTAAGTTTGACACACGGCAGGATGTTCATGATGATTTTTGACCCGCTTCTCCCCCATAGACCAGCTTAAGGGCGCCCCTGATTACCATAATGGCTCTAAAGATAATCTTATCAGAAAACCTACCATGTGTGGCGTGTTAAGAGCACTCTTGTCTGCATAAAGTCATTTAGGGACAAATCCAATCATGGAGCTGGGTTTTCATAAGTGTTGGATTTTAATAGTCTGACTTTCAAGGACCAACAATCCTGCTGTGTGTTAAATGTGACGTGGAGCCTATCAAAAAGCATGCTGTGTGCTCCACCACATTAATTTACTTCTAAGTCATGTTTGATCTGGCGAGATTTTCCGTCGCGCAGAGAAAGGTCTGTGTGTGTTTTGGCTGTGTTGCTGCACACCAAACTCTGTAGGAATTAAACTGGTGTACCTCTATACATACATACATATATTTAATCACCATCAGCAGGATCTCTTATGGTCTAATTTTTTTCCTGACAGCTTAAAAATCCTGCAGTGGTAACCGGGCCTTAGAAGACAGACCATCACAGCAGATACATTAACATCACTGCAGCATCTGTAACCGCTACTGCCCTGGTAAGAGTCTTTACTTGACATATTTTATCCATCCATCAGAACACACGCATACTTTAATGTGTGACACATAATAAATACACTGATTTTCCTTTTTTGAAGCAAAAAAATAAATACAGCTATTTAATGTTAAGTGTTTCAGATGGACCTGATTGCTTAGTCTACTGGCTGAACTCTACACAAGTGATAAGTGAATTTAGCAGCACTTCGTATACTCCCATGCACGAGCATGCACATGGGTTTGACGACAGAGAAGAGGAGCTTTAAATGGGGGAAGTTAGCTTGTGTAGCAGATGTATCCGAGTACTCCATGAATCCATTGATCACTAAAATATTTATTCATGTATTTATTGGCTACCTGGGCATATGAGACTGTGCACATGCAGATGCCACAGTGCATACCAGGGCTGCTCGATTATGGTAAAAATGATAATCACGATCATTTTGACTGAGATTGAGATCTCAATTATTTAGGACGATTTTTTAATTAATGTTGATTTTGTTTATTTATTCTGTCATAAAACACAACCAGAGGAAATAATGAAGAAAAAGAAAGAAACAAGATAATCACAAAAACAACTCCTGATTCCTAGTATAAAAGAGCCAAATGACTTGCTAATAATTTATGACACAAAGGTTTTAGGCTGAGGTTTAACCTATCTAAGCCTACCCAATACATACTAGGGATGTCACGGTGTGGCAGTAAGCCCCGGTAAAAATGTTCACAATAATAATCGTCTTGTTTTTCTAAATTATATTGTCTCGGTGGATTACCGGGGCCGTGGTGTAGGCGCTGTGACTAGAGGCCGACCGATATGGTTCTTTTAAGGCTGATGCCTATTTTTAAAGTATTTTGTTGCTGATGGCCGATGTCTAAAGTCGATTATTAAAGCAGATATATAAATGTTTTAGCGGCGTCTGAAAATATTTTCGGCCGATATAGAAATAATTTTATATGTTGGCCCGATATTTCAGCCGGTCTCTAGTGGTGACCCTTACCAGCCACCGTCGCATCTGCTTAAGTTGCCGCTAGGGCTGTAGCGAAGCCTCGATGACGTCGACGGCTCGATTCTAAAAATTTGTCGACGTCAGATCCGGAAGTCGACGCACCGCGCCCACTTGTTGCATCCCCAGGAGTTTGTAAATAGAGGTGGAATCTGCCTGTTTTTCCTCTAGTTCGCCCTCTTCTCCACCTTCACTAACATCTCCGCCAAATACCGAAGACCCGGAACAATGTCCGTCCACTACTAGATTCCTTTCCTGTTTTGCCCGCCTTCGTCTCCCGGCAACGGACAACAACTTCCGGGGTCAGATGCGCTGCTTCGTCTCTACCGCAGATGTAGAACATCACCGGGAGCGTTTCTCCCTTCATAAAGGAGCTTCTTTCAGACATTAGGAGAGCTGTTTTGGTGGTAGCAGTCTCTCCTCTGTGCTGGTCTGTTTGCTGCTGGGTGTTTTCGGTTTATTTAAACTTGGTAACGGTAAAGCTACTGTTAGCATTTTCGCTAACAGCTTCTTGCGTTACGTTTTGGTTTAGAGTTCATCTTTTTTGTGGTGTAGATCTCCCTTTTATTACATTTAGAGTGTTGTGGGTTTTTGGTTTCGTTTAAGATATCACCTTGAGTTTGGTTTAACCACCCAGTTTAGAGTTGGACCTTTGGAGATTCTTATTTTGGTCCAGAACCCAGTAATCTTTGCCCAGTGGGACATCCCTACTTATTTGTACTTTTGTTTTAATTCCCCACAGGCAGAATTAGTTTTATTATTCCCAACCTGTGGATGGAAAGGTTTATGTTTTTTTGTAGTTGTAAATAAACCTGATCATCATTTTAACTTTTAAATCCCGTTATTGTCCCTTCCTTTTTGGACATGAGCCAAACTCCCCAGGAGGAGTCGTAACACCACTCGCCTCACGCTCATAAGTGACCAAAACAAAGCAGCATGGAGACACTCCATCTTCTACCACCTCTCAGGCAGCAGCCTGCACTCCCAAGTTCTACACGTCACCAGAACATAACCAACCGCAACACAATAAAAGCAGTGTTATACAAAATGGAAGGCCTGTATGTTTATTCTCTTACAGTAACAATTTATCAGTTTTTTTGAGGAATTTATTAGAGATTTTTTGGTTTTTATTAACTGTGCAATAGAAAAATAATCATTAGATTAATTGTCTAAATAGTCATTAGAATAGTCGACTATTCGATAAAATAATCGTCAGAATAATCGTTTTAAAAATAATCGTTTACCCCCAGCCCTAGTTGCCGCGCACGTGCACTTAGTAGCTTGTAGTAGCTTGCAACGCCGAGTAAATAACGAGGGAGGGGCAAATAATCGGCTCGTTTTGTTTTTATAATCTATCAAAACTCAGATCATAATTGTGATTAAAATTCAATTAATTGAGCAGCCCTAGTGCATACAGACTCTCATATGCAGTGTAACGCGTAAATCTTGGGGAGACACTGGACAGGTTAAAGGTCATGAATAGGAGGGAATCGAGAGAAAATCGTATTCAGCAAACGGCTGGGCCGAGATCGTTTACACGGATTCAAGAGGTGCAGGCTGAGCTGTCAAAGGATTTGAACTGAAGAGGCAAAAGTACAAGCTGAATTAAAAATCAGAGAATTTGATTACTTGCTGCCACAAACATTTAACCACAAGCCCTGAGGACAGAAACAAGGAGCGGGCGGCTTTTTAGAAGGAGCAGGAAAAACTTCCTAAAAACTATGAATAAGTAAACTTGTGACTGCGACTCATCAGGATGAAAGGTGGATGTGGTGTTTTATCAGGTTTTGTTTTCAGGAACCAGGATGGTTCTTACCATTGTGAGCTTCCCCAGTAACAGTGCCCTCTCCTGAAGGATTCCCATCTTGGTCTCGCCACTTCCAGTCGATTCCACGGACAACACGTGCACCCGGGACAATGTACTTCATGACCTGAGACCGGAACAGACGCCGCTGGCGACGAAGGTTTGCCTCTGCCTCTTTCACAGCTTTACCTGGAGGTGGATGAGAAAAACATGGTGTGAGTGGAACCTAAAAGAGCTTTTTAAGCTTTAACAACTCCAGATGGGAGAGACGTGCACTCTTCTCATAATGCATTTTATTCCTCACAACTTTATCACCTTCTCTCTCATTTCACATTGTTGTGTTTGCTCTTTAATGCATGTTCACAGAGGAGTCAGCAAGCAACAGGATTACATTTTTTAACTGGTTAGGAGTTAGTCTACTGAAAAGCTCAGGTAACTTGGTTGCATTGCTGGAATCCTGCAGGTTTTTTTTTTTTTGATTGGTTGGACATGGAGAGCACCTGCAGAGCTGCTGCTGAGAAGGATACAATTACGACTTCCAGCAGCATTATCACTTGTGCCGTTTTGTGTGCACACAGACCACACACGCGCGTGCAGACACACACACAGAATGCTGAATATCAGCAGGGGGACAGATTGAGACAGAATGTCAAGCGTCTGTGACAGCGTGAGCATCCTGTCACTGTGACCGGATTGATCATGCGCCATGGCTACTTGGTCAAAGGGGATGTCCCTTTGGGTGACTGGTTAGCGCGCGTGCCTTTCACCCGGGAGTCTGGGGATCGAATCCCGATTAGACCATTTTTTTTATATCCACCACAGATCTCTCTGAAGAACTCACAACATTGACGGCTTCAGCAACGCTGTGCCACTCCGTGGATTTTCTCTTATTTGTTTTGCAAAAGCACTTCCTTTCATTTCTCCACCTCACCCACAGGTATCTCAATGTCTGTTCGTGAAATTGCGCTTCCTTGATCTGCAGTCGCGATCTTAATGGTCGAGCGCTGCAAAGAGCCGGCTTATGTATATGCATGAGATCCACAAGGCACTTTGCATTGACCATTTATGGCAGAAAGTGGGCGTGGTGAGGGCGGGATGTGACTCAGAAACACCTGAGAAGCTCTCTAGTTAGTCTCTGATTTATAAAGCGGAGACTGCGTGAAGCTGTGCGTACTCCATGTTTTATAGGTCACAAACCTACTTGGCATAAGTACATTTTTTTGGCTGAGCTTAAGTACGGTTTTAGTTACGCAACATTTTATAAACGAGACCCCAGGTCTGAGTGGAAAAGGGAGCAGAGTTTTGTGCAGGTGAATGTTTTTACCTAGGGTAAGCACGGATCTAGAATGATAATTTAAAGTTAATCTTTACTTGAAACCAGCTCTGACCTAGTTGGTCCTCGCAGACAGATGTGACCGTGCCATAGAGCTCAAGTCCGGACAAGGACAGGTAGTGGGTCTGACCGCTGGCATTCTTGCCCATCTGCTTGATTCTGATGTGTCTCCAGCCCTGCTTCTCATCTTTGGATGGGTCCAGAGGCCATGTGGCAGTTGATCTGTGGAAAAAAGATGTCTGTTATTTAATGTAGTGGTTTAATCAGATCTGAAGCAACAAAGTTCTCATGAAGTACCCGGGTTCATTGAGGCTGCTGTCATCTATGTGGGTGTAAAGAGTGGACCAGTTCTGGCCGTCCTTCGACACCTGAAAAACCCAGTTCCTCAACGCAGAGCGGCCGTAACCCCTAGAGTAGGAGGACATACATCACAGCCACGTCTCAGAATAAATACTGAGAAGTGTGGATTAGTGCTGTGTGTGAGTGTGTGTGTGTGTGTGTGTGTTACCTAGCGTGTCTCAGAGTGTATGCTGATGGAATGACCCACAGCCCCAAGTCAACAGCAAACCACGCGTTCTTGTCATCGTTAGTGTGGCAGTTGAGGGCTGAACTGTCTCGACTTAAGATGTCCTCCAACCGCCCATAGGGCAGGTTTCGTCCCTCTGAAGAAGTGACCACCACCAGGCCGTAGGCTGCGGGGTTGACCCACTCATAGGCCGTCCTGCCATGAGCAGAATATCTGGTTAAAACTCAAGATGACTTAGACTAGCAATGAGAACTGAGCCTCTGAGAAACTAGTCAGAGTTTAGAGATCTCACACTGCTTAACCCTGACTGAACAGTGATCACAAACTGCTGTTCTTACTTGGCATTCGTTCCAACCCAGTAGATGAGGCCATTCTCATCAAAATCATGTTGGTGTCTGAAAGTGAAGCTCTGTCCTTCTCTCAGTTTCCTCACAAAAACAAAGGATGAGTGCTCAAAGTCGTACCACTGCTTTGCCACCTGAACAACAGAAGGAAACGGTTCAAACTGAAGTTAAAACGTGTGGAGAGCTTCTTCAGCACAAACTCACCATCTTCAAAAGGTACTGCTCCAGAGACTCCACGGTGGCGAGTGGTTCCATCTTCAGCATGCGACCTGTCCGATCGATCAAAGCGGTCTCCCCTGGTGCTCGCTCCAGACGGAAGCGTAACCTCCGGGTCAGAATCTGATGCACATAAACAAAATCAGCTGCTGTGAGCTGGACTCAAGCCTCCGTCAAATCAAAACCAAACCACAGACTCACCTGCAGGTTATAGGAGGAGCCGGGAGTGTCATACAGGTGCAGAGGTAGCCGCTCGATCGACTCCAGGACAGCTATCAACTTCCTGATTAAGGCAACGGCAGGTCGGCTGCACACATGAACACACAACTCTAGTTTAACCCAGATTCCTTAAAAAAATTCCTCCTTAGGTTAGTGAGAATTTCCACACACTCATTTAAAATGCTGAATCTAAATGAGAGCAGTCCACAAGTTTCACTGATAATTACTGAAGAACCCGCCGTAGCATGCTGTAGTTTTATCTTATTGCCGAAAGGAAAAACAAAAGCGATCAGATCACATATGATGGATATTTACTATTTTGTTGTTTGTGTGTTTTATTTTGTGTTTTTGAAATAATGACCAACATTAACGGGCGAATTAAATCCCTTCTATGTTTCAGGAATCTGCATCAATGGACAGCTTGGTCTGGGAAAACCCGTCCTACTCAGCTGAATCTGCATCAGACTCACCAGGCAGCAACTTAAATGGAGTTGAATTCAATAAATTCTGTTAGAGAAATACTTTGGTTTTAAAAAATTTGGAACACTGAAAAATCATTTTTATTTATTGTTTCCGATTAAAATTGGTCACTTTGAGTTTTTCATTAGGCCCGAGCAGCGAAAGCGCTGCGAAGGCCTCTTGTTTTTGCTCTGATTATTCTTTCTTTATTATTCCGTGCGCGAAATGAATGGCTTTTTGGGGACCTTAACATACCCCAAAACTCACAATATTTTGAAAACTTGTCAGGCCTGGTGAAAAATTTGATATTTTAAAGGTCCCAAAAAAATCGCAAAGAAAATGGCTGAACAGCGCCCCCTACAAAGTGAAAAAAAAACCTCTCCATAAAGCTTAGTTTATCGTACAGTTATGAAATTTGGTACACTTGTAGTACTCAACAGTCCGCACAGAAAATTTTCTTGCAAGCATGGTCAATATCAAACAGGAAGTCGGCCATTTTGGATTGAAATGGCGATTTTTAGCCGTTTTTGCCGTTTTTAGGGTCCGTTTCTGATTGGATTGCTCGATCATTTTTCGCACGATCGTCTCAAAAATTGTGTAAAATTGCTCAGAAGGGATGGGTGAACAAAATGAGACAAGGATTCTGAGTTTTCGTATATGTTGAAGGGGCAGGGCCAGGCCTCGAAGTTTGACTACTCGCCAAAATTTTTTAAATTCCTATAACTTCATAACTGAATGGAATAGAGTTACCAAACTTTCTGTGGTCATTCGTCATCCACCCACAAAGTAAATTGAATGGTCGGATGATGACATCACACAAGCCCCGCCCCCTCCAGACCAAAAAGGTCAAGTTTTACTGTGAAAGGTCCCAAATTGCCCCATTTCACTTAATCACCACAAACTTGTAGCTGGTAACTCAAGACAAGTGGAGGTTGCTTGGCGTCACTTTATGGGAGTTTTCGGCAGAAGGCGGGGCTGTGGCGGCGCGGCGAAGTCAGGCATACCGCCATGGCCTTACGTTTGGCTTCCATTTCATCAATTCTAAAGATATCGTCACGAAACTTGTTGTGAGTGATCCTAGTCCGGCCCCCCAAAAGATCTGATGTAAACATCCGGTGGGCGTGGCCTATTTTCTGAAATAGCGCCCCCTAGGACCATTAAAACTGTCAGCCCCAAGCCATGCTTTGACTGAGGAGTACGAAATTTAGTACACAAATGTGGTGTCTCAGGACCTACAAAAAAGTCTCTTGGAGCCAAGTGCAAAGTTGCACAGGAAGTCGGCCATTTTGGTCCAAGTACGCGATTTAGTGGTTTTCGCACACGTTGTTTGGAGAGTGATGCTCTGTCGTCCTTTTCACCAATCTCCTTCAAGCTTCTGCTATATACTCTTAAGACATAGGGGAAAAAATTCAACCGTCGGATTTTTCAAAAGTTGAAAGGTGTGGGCGTGGCTAAGCCTCAAACTTTGACCTGCCGCCACGCCACTCTTTTTTTCACAGCTCCCTACTGGACTCCTTTTACCCAATCACCAAGAATCTCTGGCAAATAGCAGTAGACAACTTGAGGTCACTTGGTCTCCAGTACTGGCAGGTTTCAAAAAAAGGCGGGGCTTTGGGAGCATGGCGAAAATCGCCATCACGCCATGGAAATACGTTTGCCTCTCATTTCTTTATTTATGGTGATATCGCTACGAAACTGCTGGTGAGTGATCATATTCTGACCCCTAAGAGAAATAGACAGCTGAAGTATGTGGGCGTGGCCTATTTTCTGAAATAGCGCCCCCTAGGACCATTTAAACAAACAACCCCAAGCCATGCTTTGACTGAGGATTACGAAATTTGGTACACTAATGTGGTGTCTCAGGACCTACAAAAAAGTCTTTTGGAGCCAAGTGCAAAGTTGCACAGGAAGTCGGCCATTTTGGTCCAAGTACGCGTTTTACTGGTTTTCGCACACTTTGTTTGGAGAGTGGTGCTCCGTCGCCCTTTTCACCGATCTTCTTCAAACTTCTGCTATATGCTCTTAAACCACAGAGGAAAAAATTCAACCGTCGGATTTTTCAAAAGTTGAAAGGTGTGGGCGTGGCTAAGCCTCAAACTTTGACCTGTCGCCACGTCACTCTTTTTTTCACAGCTCCCTACTGGACTCCTTTTACCCAATCACCAGGAACATCTGGCAGATAGCAGTAGAAAACTTGAGGTCACTTAATCTCCAGTACTGGCAGGTTTCGAAAAAAGGCGGGGCTTTGGGAGCATGGCGAAAATCGCCATCATGCCATGGAAATACGTTTGCCTCTCATTTCTTCATTTATGGTGATATTGCTACGAAACTGCTGGTGAGTGATCATATTCTGACCCCCAAGAGAAATAGACAGCTGAAGTTTGTGGGCGTGGCCTATTTTCTGAAATAGCGCCCCCTAGGACCATTTAAACAATCAGCCCCAAGCCATGCTTTGACTGAGGATTACGAAATTTGGTACACTAATGTGGTGTCTCAGGACCTACAAAAAAGTCTTTTGGAGCCAAGTGCAAAGTCGCACAGAAAGTCGGCCATTGTGGTCCAAGTACGCGATTTAGTGGTTTTCGCACACGTTGTTTGGAGAGTGATGCTCCGTCGCCCTTTTGACCAATCGCCTCTAAACTTCTGCTATATACTCTTAAGACTTAGGGGAAAAAATTCAACTGTCGGATTTTTCAAAAGTTGAAAGGTGTGGGCGTGGCTAAGTCTCAAACTTTGACCTTTCGCCATTACATTACTTGACTTAATAACTCCCATGTGCATTATCAGATCTATATCAAACTTTGTCTGTGTGATCACTGACCACATCTTAAGAAAATGACAACGTGGACAGCTGACATCACCTAAGCCCCGCCCCCTGACTACAGGGCATTTAGTTGTAAATGGTCACAGCGCCCCCTGGATGGTTTCAAACTTTATTAACTTCTAAAGACAAGGTTAGAATGGCATTATACTTGGCTTGTGACATCACGTGACTGAACCAAACACATTGGAGTTGTTCAAATCCCTGTAGCTCTGCCCCTTTCAGCTCACTGGCTTTAGATAACATACACAACGTCCGATTGATGCCAAAATAACAGAAAACCATCTTTGTCAACCAAAGCTGACCTCAATGGGACTTTTCTGTAGTTGGTCACAGTGCCGCCTAGTTAACTTTAACCTTCGGTAACTTTAAAAAACGTGGTCAGAATAGCATTAACGTTGGTCACTGTCATCACACCACCAGTGTGGCAAAGATGGAGTATGCCCTAGTGGTGAGACGTGTAATATAATGGTGGGCTCAGAGGGGATGCTGAGTCAGGGTGAGGTGCAGACGAGGTGACCGTTAGCGGTTTCATGTGTCGGGGTGGTCGACGTTTCTGTTCCGGGGACGTGCCCTTGTGCCCCTGGCTGCCGGCCAGGCCGGAGCGGCGCGGAGCTGCGAGGGCCGAACGACGCTGCTTGCAGCTTTAATTTATATTTGTTCTTTATATAACCAGGAAGGTCCCATTGAGATTAAAAACCTTTTCAAGGGAGTCTTGGCTAAGAGGCAGCAAAAGTTACAAACTGCAAACTTCATGCAGGCTGAACATGAAAATAGTCTCCTACACCTATCTCCTGCACTAGCTTCTGATAGAAAATAGACGGTGAAACTCCAGGATTTGACAGGCCTACGTCACACTGTCATTTAGCATTCATGGACTCACACATCTCGATTCACAACAGGGAAGGCTGTTGTTGGTTTTAGTGTCCAGGAAACAGCAGAGAGCATCTCGGCTAGTAGAAGCTAACTGTTAGCATTAGCAACTCCACCACATAGCAGAACTCCTTCAGGCTTGTGGAGATAAAACATCAACGTGGCAGAGCAAACAAAGTCAGTGGTAGAGTCGTGTTGCTGTCATTCAATCAGATGTCCAAATATCAGGAAATACGAGTTCAAAACCTGCCGTTTTCAGCTCAGCTCTGGTCTGGCTCACTTGTAGTTCCTGAATCAGGTGCACTGGTGCTTTGTTTCCCTAGAGTACAACTTACAAGACATTCATTCCTACTAAAGACCACTGATTAAAGGAGTGTTCAACACTATGAACTTTTTTTTTTTTTACAACTAGTGCTTCTCCGTTACATTTTGACCACATTTTCAAAGCTAAGGAAAAATAAAGATCTATTCGATTAATCGATTATTAAAATAATTGATAGCCGCAGCCCAAATCTCCCGTAATGTGGTACACCTCCTGGCTGCATAACCTCAGTGATCCCGGCTTGGTGAGTCAACTATTTCTGGTCAGGCTGATTATTAAATATACAAACTAAAAACCTACCAGCTTCTAATTTGACCCACGTTGTTAAACTTTCAAACACAAAAAAGCTGACGTGCTACTATTTTGTGCATCAACACGTTGATTTTTTTTCTCCCTTCAGCTTTTATGGAAAATAAATATCCATCTTCGATCTGCAAATTTGTACTATTTGATTTAATCAGAGTAAATCCTGGAATAAAACTCAACCACGGGTGAAAGTATCAATCCTAAAACCAACCAGAACATAAAAATAGATCAGAGTTATTAGATTTACCTTTCATTATCTTCATTCTCGCTGAAAGCTGCCTTAAAGACGTTGATCCTCTCCATTAAAGGTTTACAATCATGTTTCACATCCAGTTCAGCACTCTGTATGGTTACAGACAAAAAGCTTTAGATCACTGTATTAGAACAATTACACATTTAACTCCAAATATTTTAATTTCAACAAGAAAATCAAAAATGTCAGATTTTTGTGGCTAAACAGGTGAACAAAAGAAAAAACTACACTGGTACATTTATTCTTTCAATCATTAGTAGTGCTGTACCACACCCTATCGTTTACAGTAACATCTGTTTATATTTAATGGTGCCGAATGACCCGGAAATGTCCAGTGACCCAGCTGGAGCAGCAGATTAGGCCTCTGGAGCAACGACTGCATGAACCAAGTCTGGCTACAGGAGAACAGGGGCCTCATTTATCAACCGTACTTACGCACAGATCTGAGTGTATTTCCTGTGTGGACACTTGTTAAAGCATTGTGTGGTATTCATGAATTTGTATGTGGAAATGTTCCTAAATATAAAAAAACCTCACACAATGTGTACAAACAGCATCTAGTGGTCGAACGGGGGAAATGCAACACCGAAGGTCTCAGTCATACACGTTCCTCATCCACAAATTATTTTACACAAATTAATTCAGTGACAAAACAGCTGTACCCCATTACTGATGCTGAAACACCCATGACCGACAGGACTCTAATGTAGTAGAATGGCTGATTTGGGGGTTTTGTAACTGCAACTTTTACTCACAAGTTTTTAATCATTTTTCATTTATTTATTTTTTTAATTGAATTTTTGTCCTTGTGAAGGACCTCATTTTGCTTGAGAGGCGCTATATAAAAGAGTGTGTGTGTGTGTGTGTGTGTGTGTGTGGTGTGTGTGTGTGTGTGTGTGTGTGTGTGTGTGTGTGTGTGTGTGTGTGTGTGTGTGTGTGTGTGTGTGTGTGTGTGTGTGTGTGTGTTCTAAAGCTCAGACTGGTAGTGAATAGGCACTAAAGTTAAACTTTGACAAGAATCAATACATTTTTATGCATTTAATCTACTGATTTATGTTTATAATTTCTCAAAGTTAACTTGTAAACATTTTACAGGAGGAAAAATATCGAGATATACATCGTAAATCGTAAATCAACTAAAAGATAGAGATATAAGTTTTCATCCATATCGCCCAGCCCTACTATAACCTAAAAGGAGCCTTGCTGCTTTTATAAAATCTAAGACCAACCAGCCTCAAAGAAATTACATTTGTTTCACTGAGTTTAAAAATCTGTAGTTAAAGACACTGAAAATGATTTCTGATTGTCTCTAAAAGCTAAAAAGGATGTTTAAAACAACAGAATAATTTTATTCAGAGTTAAAATCAAACAAATGTTTAGAGCCACCGGTGTCTCTTCTTACACACTCACATTGCTGAGGACGGTGAACAGAGCCTGGACCAGACCGCTGCTGCACATTTCATAAGGTGAAATGGTGTTTTCATCCTTCAAAACCACAATCAGGTTCTCCAGAGCTGTTTTCATCAGGTCCCTCCACGTGTTCTCCCCCTCAAGACTCTGCAAACGGCATTAATTACACACACACACGGTTTTCCTTATTGCTGCAGGGAATCGGAGTGTGTGTGCTCATGTGTGTTAGTGTTAATGTTCTGCACCTGTCTGTTGATGTGAAGCTCCCAGGCAGACTCCAGCTGAGTGGAGATGTTCCTCAGGGTCACCACCACTCCTCTGGGCATGCTCTCCACAGCTTTGAAGTGGTCATCATACAGCTCCCTGGCCATGCTCTTCACCTTCTGCTTCGTCTTTTCTAGTTTGGATTTCAGCTTCCTGCCTCTCTTCCCAGTCCAGCCAGTGACAAACTCAGAACCTGGTGACAGACCACCCAGGGAATGATGCTTCTGAAGGTCTAAACACAGCAAACCGAGTTCTATACAGTTTGTTAATGGTGTCTAACCCTTTACACCGCTGGGGTAAAGGTCTTACACGTTTAAGACCTTGAGAATTCTAATTTTAGGAAAACCCACAAGTCATCTTATCTCACAAACATTAATGCTGTCAGTAAACCTTTCAAAAAACAAAAGATCACAGAGAAAAGCCTAATGAATGCATTAAACCTTCACCGTGTACTGCCATCGCTACGTTAACATGTCGGTTTTGTCAGCTGTCAAATACATTCTGGGCCTTTTTTTCCCAGCATACCCCTCGATTTCAATTGCTGAAATTAGTCAGATGGACCTCAAGAAACTAAGTAATAGTCCGGTAACAACAACAATTTATGTGTTTATGTGAAACATTAGAAACACGTTTCTTCAATAAATTGAGGGGCCTGGCAGCCCTGCATTTAACTCTTCTGTACCTCCAGCCCGAAGATAAGAAGGTGAACAGTCGCTGTTGGGGTGGGAGGGGTCTTTGATATATAATTAGTAGGATAGTTCAGAACTTGCCTCACTTGTTCGCAGCAAACCGGGAATGTGCACTTTGCTAGTTACCAATTCACTGCTGTGTTGGCCTCGCAACTAAATATTGTGACAACGTCAGTTAGGATAAACCCACGTTTGGGGAATGGGGATCGGATTTATTGGAATTCTTTAGAATAATGATCAACTCTGATGAACTGTACAGGCCTTCCCCATCAGCACTTCTCTGTCCAACAGAATAAGCTTGAAGTGCAGCTCAGTCCCTCTGAAGAATGTTGTGACATCATATGGTACCAGCTAACATTCTAGGGTGCCTCTTAGCCAATAGTGATGGCAGATTTAAATTCAAATGCAGTGCAGAGTTTTTACCTGACAACGGCACAACACCGACAGTTTTAGGCAGAAAATTAAAATTGTAACTAAAGTGCAAAACTATTAACTACACGTGTCTGCAGCACGATTAGACACGCATTTATATAGTTTATCAGAAAAAAAAAGTTGATTTGGGGGTGACTTGCTCTTTAAGACCGTGCTCTGGAGATATTTTAGACCCCAGATTCTGAGACTTACCGAGTGATGTCTCTGCAGTGAACGAGTGTTTGGTTCCCCTATTTGATTCAAACACAAAGCCAGGGAGGTCCTCCTTCAGAATAGTGGCCTGCTGTCCATCAGAGTTATGAATGGCGATCTCTCCATCTTTCAGGCAAGTCAGAGACCAGTTCCCAACAGTCAGCTTAATGGGACCGACGATGGAGAGGATGGGCTGGCTGGTCGTCACGGGTTTCACCTGACTCCTTGCCCGCTGAAGCTTCTCCAGGAATTCACTGCGAGATTCTGCAGACAGTAAAGACCAGTGATCCATCAGATCATGTCAAACTGACAGACGGATCTGGCTTTGAACTGCGAGACAAATTTATAAAAGACTTGGAGCTGGTCTACAGCAAGTTAGGACATAAACTCCTAAGTACAAGTCTGCAGAAGAAACCTTAACAGCTGTTAAAAATTAAGTTGAACGTTTTATTTAGGAAACTTTTACTTATCTGACTGGAATAAAACTGTCAGATCTTTAATCTTCACACTGTTCCAAAATAGCAAATGAAACAAAACAGTTTAAGTGTGATGAGTAAAAGTCCAACACACCTGAGCTGTCCGAGCCTCCTTCTGGACTCCCACTGGAGTACATGGTGGCCAGCTTCCCATCAAGGATGAACCTAAACCAGCCGTTGGAGCCATTGGAAAGCTCCAGGGCCGCGGCGTCTGACCAGATGTAAAGACAGTCTCTGCCCCTGATGATGGACCAGTCCCTCCAGTGGTAGGGCTTACCCTGCTGAATCTCCTTGGCATCTTCCTGCACATCGTCCTCCTGCAGAACATCAGTCAGTAAATCCCTTACACAAGCCTGTCTGTGTCATTCACCCATGCAGCAGCAGGACATGAGCTCTTTGCTTTTCCCAATTTATTTGTGACTGGTATCTTTTAGGCAGTAAATAATAGTGACTCTAGAGACTAGCTGAGCTAAGTAGTCCGCCAACCTGCTCTTCTTCTTGGTGGACAACAGGCTGTGGGTTTTATTTTTGGAAACACTAAATAGAACCTGGATTTAATCTAATTGATGTTTCATTCTGTTGTGTTTTTATTCAGGTTTTCTCTTTGAAATCACAATATTGCATCACAGTTTTTTACCTTTTCGGGCTTTGCTTCATCCTCATTCTCGTCATCAGATGCCGGCCCAGCCAGAGTTGATACTTTGTTGATGACTCCTAATCGAGCCAGCTGGTCCAGAAAAACATCTCCACCTTTATCTACCAGATCCCTGATAATCTGCAGAGCCAGGAGGTGGCCATCATCATCGTCCTGCCAAACAACACCAGAAACATTGAGACTCCAAATAATAATACATGTAGGTCTACACACACCACACACACACTTGAGCAGAGTTTTGGACATACCTCCTGATCGAGGACAGTGGCAGTGATCTCCACAAGGACTGTGGGCAGGTTGTGTCCCGTCTCGCTGTCACACACCTCCCTCAGCAGAACTTCACTGCTGTAATGGATCATCTTTCTGATCAGAGCCAGACTGGCTTTCCTACAAACCAACAGTCACTATTAGTTTTACCACTCCACAGCCAAGTGATGGGGAACACTGATCAGGAACAGGTGGGGGTCAGTGGTTTGAATTCAGCTGCTCTGAATGGTTTGCAAACTTAAAGGAACAGCTTGTGGTTTGACCCAGCTGTGGTCTGTGAAACTGCTACGTAGCGTGGTTTGATCTGAATCTGTTTACCTGATGGAAGGCAGCATGGTTTGCTGAAAGGTTTGTGCAAAAACAGGTAAAAGCCTCTTCAGGTAGAAGGGAGCCATCTCTGGGTCTCCTTTAGGCTCACTGCCTTCCTCCTCCTCTTTGGTTGCATCCTTCTTCCTCTTGTCGTCACCTTTGTTCACCGGACACATCCAGTCCCCTGCAAAAGAATCCACCTGGAATTTATAAAGTGTCCTCTCACCAACAGACATTTGGTCGTAGAGGTTTTGAGACATTAGAGTCTCATCTGTGGACCTTAAAGGTAAATTCAGACAGTCTGATTTTTAATACCACAGCTGAGCCACTGATCCATTTCATAGGGCTGTCGCGGTTGAGGAATTCCCCCTGCGGTGATTCAGGGTGGCTTAATATTGCGGTGTGCGATATTATTGCAGCACTTTTTTTTATTGCAGTACTATCTAAACATAATGTTTACTAGGGCTGTAGCGAAGCCTCGACGAAGTCGACGGCTCGATTCTAAAAATTTGTCGACGTCAGATCCGGAAGTCGACGCACCGCGCCCACTTGTTGCATCCCCAGGAGTTTGTAAATAGAGGAGGAATCTGCCTGTTTTTCCTCTAGTTCGCCCTCTTCTCCGCCTTCACTAACATCTCCGCCAAATACCGAAGACCCGGAACAATGTCCGTCCACTACTAGATTATTTTCCTGTTTTGCCCGCCTTCGTCTCCCGGCAACGGACAACAACTTCCGGGGTCAGATGCGCTGCTTCGTGTCTATCGCAGATGTAGAAAATCACCGGGAGCGCTTCTCCCTTCATTAAGGAGCTTCTTTCAGACATGAGGAGAGCTCTTTTGGTGGTAGCAGTCTCTCCTCCGTGCTGGTCTGTTTGCTGCTGGGTGTTTTTGGTTTATTTAAACTTGGTAACTTGAACTTAACGTTGGTAAAGCTACTGTTAGCATCTTCGCTAACAGCTTCTTGCGTTGGGATAAGCTGTTACGTTTTGGTTTAGAGATCATCTTTTTTGTGGTGTAGATCTCCCTTTTATTACATTTAGAGTGTTGTGGGTTTTCGGTTTAGTGTAAAATATCACCTGAGTTTGGTTTAACCCGTAAGACCACTCGCCTCACGCACATAAGTGACCAAAACAAAGCAGCATGGAGACACTCCATCTTCTACCACCTCTCAGGCAGCAGCCTGCACTCCCAAGTTCTACACGTCACCAGAACATAACCAACCAACACAATAAACGCAGTGGTATACAAAATGGAAGGCCTGTAGTGTTTATTCTCTTACAGTAAGAATTTATCAATTTTTTTGAGGAATTTATTTGAGATTTTCTGGTTTTTGTTAATTGTGCAATAGAAAAATAATCATTAGATTAATTTTCTAAATAGTCATTAGAATAGTCGACTATTCGATAAAATAATCGTCAGAATAATCGTTTTAAAAATAATCGTTTACCCCCAGCCCTAATGTTTACACATTTAAAAAAGGTTAAAAATTGCCGTGCCTTCTTTTATAACACTTTACTGAATGCAGATCAAAGGGCAGTAACAACACAGATCGCAGTAACGTTTGTTTCTCCGACAGTCGGAGTCCGACTGAACTTAAAAAAAAAAAAAAAAAATTCAGGAGGTTAAACTTTTAAATGCAAATTTGGCTGCAGCATCTAACAAATAAGAAACAAGTCCCCATTTTGTTTAGTTGTTTAAAATCAAGCATAAAAAATTACATGTGCCGGGGGGCGGGCGCACTATCATTTCACTTTCACACACACGAATGATGGTGATTTATAGCTCGGTCACGTCCTTGTTACCTACAAGGAAAACCAGCATGTTAACCATATACGGTTTGAGAGAGGATCTGAGAGGGGTGGCAACATTTCCAGCAACACTGAAAACCCTCTCGGATGGTGCGCTCGTTGCACTAACGCACACGTACCTGCGTACGACTGGCGAGCAAAGGGAATCTCTCCCGGTCGTTGCTCCACCATGTCAGGGGGGTTTCTTTAGGGTGGATGCATTCCTCCTGCAGGTAGCGAGTGAGCTCCAGCTCGGCTCAAACTCTCTTCAGGACGGTTGCAGAAGCAGTGCTTGTCCGGGACTTCAGCAGGTCTCCGAGCGTTTATTTATTTATTTATTTTTGCCGCTGGTGGCAGCTCTGTCTCGGCCAAGGACCCTGGCTGCGCAGCAGCTGACGTACTGAAAACCAAAGTGCTCCCAAAGGAGCGAAGTAACGTTTCGTTTTGATACCAGTGCAGCCATCCTTCTCAACATGCATCATTGAGTTGAACCAAGTTCAGTAATCGCGGTGGCCCATGATGCAGCGCGGTGGGCTTCTTCATATTGCGATATTTCATTTTTGCGGTTACCATGACAGCCCCATCGTTTCATCAGGGTTGGGAGGTAAACTAACCTGGGGACTGCAGTATAGCCACCACTTCACTGTGTCCTCGCTCCCTGGCTTTATCCAGAGGAGTCTTTCCATCCTCGTCTCTCAGGTCTGGGTTTGCTCCATGACGCAGAAGAGTCTGACCACAAAAACAAACACGTGTTATGATGGAAGCATCCAACCAAAAATATGTTTTAAAGATACAACAGCTGAGCAGAAACACAAGTGGTGATGTTTTAACCCTGACAGTGAGCACAGCTTACCTTGGCTACTTGTGGGCGACCAAAACAGGCAGCATAGTGCAGTGAGGATGACCTCTGACCTCTGTTAACATCTGCCCCGCGCTCACATAAAAACTCCACCTGAAACAAAAGTTTTGTTGGATTTAAACCAGAATGAAGATGAAGAGCAGATTACAAAGACTGGTTTTACTTTGAGACCAGTACTACCAGCTGACACTGGCGTCCAGCACCAAGGACTCATGTTAAAAAGTGACTGAAGATTTTTAAAACCTACTCAGAGTTGCCCACATATATGAACATGTTCACTCATGGAGTGTTTAATCTCTGTACTGAGACAAATACATTCATGTGGGAGTAGAACATCAGTAAACCCACGCTGATTCAGAGTGAAGCCACCAACCAAATGTTGAAAGAACTTCAGATTTGTTGATGGTTGAAGGTAAAAAAAAATAATAATGAAGAAATCAGAAAACTCAGTAGCTTTATACAACAACCCTAAAATGCCCTGAACTCCATCGTTTTTCTCACGAAAACAAATTCCTATAAGAGTGTGTCCATTTGTTTTTACCATCTCCTGAGTGCCAAAAGCTGAAGCCCAGTTGAGCAGCGTCTGTCCGACATCATCCATGAAGTTTACCTCAAAAGCTGTAAAAAAATATATATATATATGTATATTAAAAAAAACATAACATACAAAGTTATCACTTGTTTCCCGCAATAAACGCTAAGAGAATCCTGAATTTAGCCGATTCATGTGCACATTAATTAGAATATTGATTTATTTATAGGTTGCATCGAGTCACTAACTAGTGTCAGAGTCTTTACAGCAATCCTCATACTAAGCAAGCATTTAGCGACAGTGGAGAGGAAAACTCCCTTTTAACAGGAAGAAACCCCCAGAGGATCCTGGCAGCCATCCACCATTATTCTGAACACTGTTTGTGATGTCTGTAGTTTGAATCTGACAGCTTCAGTTTTAACAGTCACTGCATTTACCCGCACGTGCTTTAGTTAAAAACTACAGCCGTTAATGCACAAGAGGTTTTTGATAGTACATCATCTATAGATAACGTAGAATTTTGTCTAACCTCCAGTATCGATGGCATCAATCAGAGCGTCTGTGTCCTTGCTGCGGATACAGTCAATCAGCTGTCGGTGGGACCGCTCTCCTGAGCTGTCCAGGCGCCGTAACCCGGGGATTCGACCCGCTGAACCTGCAGTTGACTTTGGCAGTGCCTTCCGTCCCTCGAACAGGAGAACCAGCAGTAGATCCACCAGCCTCATGGTGTCGAGCACACAGCGCTCATCTCCTCTCAAAGCACACTCCATTGAGTCAGGTAGTGCTGAACGCAGCAGGTCCTGAACACCAGACCAAAATAAGCATCAACCAGACGACGAGCAGAAGGTACAACTTCTGCTCTCATTCTTTCAAATATAATTAACTTTTCAGCTTAAATCCTGACTGTGTGGACCTACATGTGTGACCAGAGGTGAACCTCTGCACAGCGTGGACAGCAGGCTGACGATGGTGGACACCTGGTTACTCAGCTTGGAGTCAGCAGCACAGGGCGTAGCGCCGGTGGAGGGCCGCCCCGGCTTACAGGAGGAGGTGGAGTTTGATACAATACCACCGGCAGCTGCCATGCGGGACAGCAGCTCCTCTGTAAGGCCGTGTTTAGCTAAAGGGGCGGGGTCAACACCTCTACGGGTGAATCGATCAGCCAATGAAGCAAAGCAGCGTAAAGCCCCATCTGAAACCTGGAGGAACGAAGTAGCACATGTTCAAAAGACTAAATTAGCTAAATTATACAAGACGTGTTCATTATGATCATGTCTATTCAGGAAGCACTAGTACATGTGAGAGACAGAGAGAGACAGATAGAGAGACAGATAGAGAGACAGAGAGAGAGAGAGAGAGAGAGACAGAGAGAGAGACAGAGAGAGAGAGAGAGAGAGAGAGACAGAGACAGAGAGAGAGACAGAGAGAGAGAGAGAGAGAGAGAGAGAGAGAGAGAGAGAGACAGAGACAGAGAGAGAGACAGATAGAGAGACAGAGAGAGAGAGAGAGAGAGAGACAGAGAGAGAGACAGAGAGAGAGAGAGAGGCAGAGAGAGAGAGAGCGACAGAGAGACAGAGACAGAGACAGAGAGGAGAGAGAGAGAAACAAAGAGCGACAGAGAGAGACAGAAAGAGAAAGAGAGAGACAGAGAGAGAGAGACAGAGGAGAGAGAGAGAGAGAGAGAGAGAAACAAAGAGTGACAGAGAGACAGAAAGAGAGAGAGAGAAACAAAGAGCGACAGAGAGAGACAGAAAGAGACACAGAGAGAGAGGAGAGAGAGACAGAGAGAGAGAAACAAAGAGCGACAGAGAGACAGAAAGAGAGAGAGAGAAACAAAGAGCGACAGAGAGAGACAGAAAGAGACAGAGAGAGAGAGGAGAGAGAGACAGAGAGAGAGAAACAAAGAGCGACAGAGAGAGACAGAGACAGAGAGAGCGAGAAACAAAGAGCGACAGAGAGAGACAGAGAGAGAGGAGAGAGAGAGAGAGAGAAAAACAAAGAGCGACAGAGAGAGAGAGAAACAAAGAGCGACAGACAGACAGACAGAGAGAGAGAGACAGAGAGAGAGAGACAGAGAGAGAGAGACAGAGAGAGAGACAGAGAGGAGAAAGAGAAAGAAAGAAAGAAAGAGAAAGAGAAGAGAGAGAGAGAGAGAGAGAGAGAGAGAGAGAGAGAGAGAGAGAGAGAGAGAGAGGAGAGAGAGGAGAGAGAGAGAGAGAGAGAGACCCTAGCCACAGCCTGGACTCTGCTGAGGAAGATCCCACAGATCAAAAGTGAGTAACAGAACATTTGGGTGAGGTTTGGTTGGAAAGCTCCTAACTAATTACCTGATGGTCTTCATGTTTGAGGAGACTGGACAAAGACTCAACACAGGTCTCCAGAGATGAGTCCTGAGGCTCCATCTTGCTGCAAAGGCGGGACACCACAGCCATTGCTGAGTGTAAAGTATCTTTGTGGACCAGGTGTCCGCTGTCTCTGATAAAACTCAGCACACAGTTCAGACCACCAGCGTCAAACACAGCACCAGACTCTCGGGTACAGATCAGCTCCAACACCTGCACAAAAGCATCAGTCATGTTAAAAGTCTCAGGGCCCGTTTTACACCTCTGGACTAGGGATACAAGCAATTCATCGATTATCAATTAACTGTCGATAAGAAATTACTTGAGTAAAATTATTTTATTGAAATTAATTGCGTTTTGAACCCGTAATTCCCTGCCAGTCCTCATGGGGCGCGCTTGACGCCAGACGTAGTTCACGCACAAGATAAGCTGGGCTCTGATGACAACATACAAAAGAGAAACGGTCGGTACACCGAGGATGATGAGGGCAAAACGGAGTGCAGTATGGATGGAGCCACTTCAAGTTGGTCAATGACAACAACGATGCCAAATGCACAACATGTGGAAGTATTTTGAAGTACAACAATTCCACAACTTTGTTGAATTACCACCTAAATATGTCACATTCAGCCGTGCTACAAACAGTGAGTGGTTCTCAGCCTACAATCACCACAGCAATGGGAAGAAGGGTATGACTCCACGAAAGCAGAGGACTTAACCCAGCGAATATGTAACACGGTTACTGCAGACATGCTGCCGATAAATGTGCTTGACGGACAGGGATTTCAAGAAGTGATAAGTACATTGAGCCGGGGTACAATATCCCCTCTAGAACAACCATAACCAATAATCTTTGATTAAGGAATGTGATTTGCAATTTTTCTTTATACGATATAGAAGATAGCATTTCATGTTACATATACAGTAGATGGAACCTATTCAGAGGGAAATTCAGCTGTTCAGAAAAATTGCCACGTATCAATTAATCGGTCATCGATCGATAAGATGAAACAACTATTGATTAATGAATTACTCAATAATTTGCATCCCTACTCTGGACACCAAAATCCATTTGAACCACAAGTTTGGTCTACAGCAGCCATCTTGTGGTGAGTGTTATGGGTCTATGGCTACCTTCACACTGAAGGCAAAAATGCATCAAATCTGATGTTTTTTTCCCCCACATGCAACCCATATCTGATTTTTTTTATGACAGTCTGAACAGCACAGACCCAATTTTTTCAAATCTGGTCCAGGTCACTTTACATGTGGTACTGATTCCGATACAGATCTGATGTTTTTGAAAGTGACTGCAGTCTGAACGGTCACATCGCATTAAATCCGTCTCCTACGTCACTGAGTCAGCGGCGGTGAGCATTGTGTGCTGACATTCCTGAAGAGAAATGCTGACAGAAGCATTCAGGAGTCTGTCTGGACATCCTGTTAAGTTTAGGAATTAAAAATACAAAAGAGCGTGAGAACGGGGGAGCGGGAGGTGCTGTTGGAGCGAAGCGTCTCACCGGTCTCAGTCTCCGTGAGAATGGGGGGTTCTCCGTGAATTAACTTAATACCGGAACCTTTCTGGTGAATAATTCGGGAAGATGGCAGAAATACGGAGTAAGATAGTTTACAGTGTTTGAAACAGTTTCCAGCCCAAAACGGAAGACATGACAGGTGCGATCCTAATTCTGTGGATGAACTGTCAGTGAAGTGGTCGTATCATTCTGTCAGAACTGCAGATTTCAGGTAGCAACATTAATATAAGCAAACTAAGGCAATAAATGGAATCATGGAGTACTTGGTTCCAAATGTTAAACACTAGCCGTTCCCATGTTTGTCTATTTAAAGCTGCTCCCCTCTCCTCTCTGCTGTCGTGTACGCGTTCATGCCATAGGCCCTTTAAAATCAGCCCGATTATTTCTCAGTTTAAAAGCTCCGTCACCAGATGTTACAACAGGTTGTGATTCATCAGCATTTTTTTTTCTGTTGAAAGGTGAGAAAACCTCAAGCAGGAAGGTAATGCCTGAAAACTGGTTTAGGCTGTCTGAGTACAACAGCTTGTCCTTAAATAATCCAGAACATTTTGTCTGTTCTTGTGGAAATAGTTCCTCGTCACAACAGATATCTTATACAGTGGGGCAAAAAAGTATTTAGTCAGCCACCGATTGTGCAAGTTCTCCCAATTAAAATGATGACAGAGGTCAGTAATTTTCATCGTAGGTACACTTCAACTGTGAGAGACAGAATGTGAAAAAAATCCATGAATTCACATGGCAGGATTTTTAAAGAATTTATTTGTAAATCAGGGTGGAAAATAAGTATTTGGTCAATAACAAAAATTCAACTCACTACTTTGTAACATAACCTTTGTTGGCAATAACGGAGGTCAAACAATTACTATAGGTCTTTACCAGGTTTGCACACACAGTAGCTGGTATTTTGGCCCATTCCTCCATGCAGATCTTCTCAAGAGCAGTGATGTTTTGGGGCTGTCGCCGAGCAACACGGACTTTCAACTCCCTCCACAGATTTTCTATGGGGTTGAGGTCTGGAGACTGGCTAGGCCACTCCAGGACTTTCAAATGCTTCTTACGGAGCCACTCCTTTGTTGCCCGGGCGGTGTGTTTGGGATCATTGTCGTGTTGGAAGACCCAGCCACGTTTCATCTTCAAAGCTCTCACTGATGGAAGGAGGTTTTGGCTCAGAATCTCACGATACATGGCCCCATTCATTCTGTCCTTAACACGGATCAGTCGTCCTGTCCCCTTAGCAGAAAAACAGCCCCAAAGCATGATGTTCCCACCCCCATGCTTCACAGTAGGTATGGTGTTCTTGGGATGCAACTCAGTATTCTTCTTCCTCCAAACACGACGAGTTGAGTTTATACCAAAAAGTTCTACTTTGGTTTCATCTGACCACATGACATTCTCCCAATCCTCTGCTGTATCATCCATGTGCTCTCTGGCAAACTTCAGACGGGCCTGGACATGCACTGGCTTCAGCAGCGGAACACGTCTGGCACTGCAGGATTTGATTCCCTGCCGTTGTAGTGTGTTACTGATGGTGACCTTTGTTACTGTGGTCCCAGCTCTCTTCAGGTCATTCACCAGGTCCCCCCGTGTGGTTCTGGGATTCTTGCTCACCGTTCTCATGATCATTTTGACCCCACGGGATGAGATCTTGCATGGAGCCCCAGAGGGAGATTATCAGTGGTCTTGTATGTCTTCCATTTTCTGATAATTGCTGCCACAGTTGATGTTTTAACACCAAGCTGCTTGCCTATTGTAGATTCACTCTTCCCAGTCTGGTGCAGGTCTACATTTCTTTTCCTGGTGTCCTTCGAAAGCTCTTTGGTCTTGGCCATAGTGGAGTTTGGAGTCTGACTGTTTGAGGCTGTGGACAGGTGTCTTTTATACAGATAATGAGTTCAAACAGGTGCCATTAATACAGGTAACGAGTGGAGGACAGAAAAGCTTCTTAAAGAAGACGTTACAGGTCTGTGAGAGCCAGAGATTTTCCTTGTTTGAAGTGATTTACAAATAAATTCTTTAAAAATCCTGCCATGTGAATTCATGGATTTTTTTTTTCCACATTCTGTCTCTCACAGTTGAAGTGTACCTATGATGTAAATTACTGACCTCTGTCATCATTTTAAGTGGGAGAACTTGCACAATTGGTGGCTGACTAAATACTTTTTTGCCCCACTGTAGCTCTTTATGCTGGAAATGCAGAACTACTCCTGATGTAGAAGTCAGCGAGACAAACTCAACTTCATCTCAAAGCAAGGCTTATATTGTAACAGCAGGACTAGGCATGTAGATTTGAACATGGTCCAATGCTCCACCCTGACCTTTACCTCCTTCTCTGTTCCTCAGATTGATAAAGTCTCAGAGTAAAAAGGGATGTTTGAAAGGATCACAGCCTTAATCAGTCCTTTGAACAAACTAACAATCTCTATGGAACATGATCAAAGCGGTGTCCAGTCAAGTGGTTTTCCTGGGAGCTACTGTGGACAACATCTGACAGCCTTCATCAGAAACTACAAGTTAAAGATGAATAAAACTGAATTAACTTGCCTGGGTTGATTTGGTTGATAAGCTTGTAGGGCTGCTCGATTATGGCAAAAATAATAATCACGATTATGGTGACTGAAATTGAGATCTCGATTATTTAGGACGATTTTTCAATTAATGTTGATTTTATTTGTTTTTATTCAGTCATAAAATTGCTCAGGGCACAATCAGGACAAAAATAAATAAGAAACAAGATGATCACTAAAATAACTCCTGATTCCTAGTATAAAAAGACCAATATACTTATAGCTCATAGTTTATGACCCAAGAGCTATAGACCTTGGTTTAACTCATTTAAGTCTAACCAGTACAGACCCAAATGCCAATATCTTGCAAATACTGACAGCAAGAAGTATATAGTGGCATTTATAACAAATAAACGCAAATAAATTGATGTTCACAAAATGTTGCATAATATGTATTTAGTCATGTCAATGTAGGAGAGTGCACTAGCACCGTGTCCTCAGTCTCATAGAGATTAGTTAATATTTTTCAGTGTGAGGAACTTATTTCTATCTACTTCTACCTTATTTATAAACTATTTCTTTACAAGCCCATCAGTTAATGTAATAAATGTCCCAACCACAGCTGCACCCCCCACCCCCTCACCCAGTCTCACAGCAATCATGGGCAAGCTGCACGTGTGTTTAGCACGCCGCACGTGCACATTTAGCGGCTCAGGAGCCTGCAGGTACGGTGTGTGTGTCACTCACTCTGGTTAATCCAACAGGGAGCCGGCTCAGAGCTGCTTCTTTAGTGACCGACACATCACTACATCATTCCCTTTCCTAATGTCCTGAAGGACGGTCCGGAGCGCAGGCGGAGTGTTTAGCTAACCTGCAGGAAATGTCGACGACAGTTTTCCAGAAAGTAGCTAAGGGTTACCAGAGATGTTTCTGAGGTGTTTGCTAGGTACTTTTAAGATTTAAAAAGTCAAGAAGGGGGTCTGAGAAGCTGTTCCAAAAGTTGCTAAGTTGGCAACACTGTGGGAGGAGCGCTTCATTTGTAACTCAGGGCAGCGCAAGTGGGAGGAGCAAATAATTGGCTTGTTCTGTTTTTATAATCGTTCAAAACTCAGATCGTAATTGGGATTAAAATTCGATTCATTGAGCAGCCCTATAAGCTTGGTAAAGACCATCCACCCTTACCTTGACACATTGCTCAGCCAGATCTCTGCTTGTCCTGTTGTTGAGCTCCACCACCACCAAGCGATTACACAGCGCCTTGATGGCCCCGTCCACACCCACGATCCTCCGGGTACACTCGGCCGACACATCCAGGTAGTAAGTGATTGCTCGGGCCGTCACCTCCAGAACATTATCTGGAGCGCTTTCATCCAGGAAGATTTTACAGAGTGCTGGTAGGAAGGTCCGAGGTGGACATCTGAAAGGAGAACAAGGGGTTTTCAGCTCTGGACCCACACCTGCTTAACACAAATGGGTGAAAACAACAAAAACTCACGTTTCAAAGCAGCGATCAACGTTGTCAGACATGAGCAGCAGCATGCAAAGCTGCTCCAGAGCAATGAGCTGCATGTCACGCTCATCACCCTGACCCATCTGCAGCCATTCCAGCAAGGTGTCTGGGTCCACATCCGCCATGATGGCAAGCCTAAAGAACAATAATAAATAAATAAAATACACGACAAAGATCGCATCAGAACTTTGTATGGTAATGTTTACATTTAAAGTGTTTAATAAGTTATGTAGATGATGACTTATGAGTGACTACTGCTCTGACTACCGCTCGCATGGCAGGATTTTTAAAAAGATGATTTTTAAATAGACATGAAAACGGTCAAGGGTGAAAAAGGTGAAATATGATAAATAACATGTTTGGCCTGGTTTGTTATTTTGTTTGAATGGTCTCATTTCAGAAAAGTGAAAAAGCACAAACCAAGCTCTGCTGCTGAAAACACTTCAACCATAAAGAATCCTAAACTTGATGGATGTTTAATATTTACCGACAATAATAATAATGATGACAATAGCAACACCAGCAAGAGGCAGTGGGCAGGATTAGGATTTAATGATGGCTACCTCCCCTTCACTAACTAGCTAACTAACCCTTCCTTTGGAGACATTTTGACTTTTAATATCTCCTTATATCAATTGTGTCTCTGAGGAGAAGAAACAAGCCAACAAGAAGCAAACATCTAACTCAAAAGTAGGGCTGGGTGATATGGCCTAAAACAATATCACAGCTCTCTGTCCCTAAAGGCTGAGTCTGATGATCTGATCATCAGAATCTGAGGCAGTGGAAGCTAGGGCTGGGTGATATGGCCTAAAACAATATCACAATATATTGAGGATTTCACCTCGATAACGATGAATGGATGATAACTACAGGTATGCGCAGAAGCAAAAGCTGCCCACTAGACGGGGCTGTCACATGTAGTACGTTAAGGCACATTTTTACGTGACTCAAGGTGGTATAGCTTCTTTAAGAGACATGAACTTTGCAGATCTACACACATCTTTTCATCTTTTTATAATCAAATTTATTGACATTTGAAAAATTATCTCGATAAGAGTCAGAAATTTTGATATTGATGAATTTACGATTTATTGCCCAGCCCTATTCAAAAGGTAGACTAAAGTTTTAAGCCCAAAACCGGCTCGACAGATTCAATGATGGCGCTTCCAATAGGGCTGGGCAATAAATCGAAAATTTATCGTTCTTGAAATTTCTGACTCTTATAATGATAATTTTTCTCATGTCAATAAATCTGATAATTAAAAAAAATGAAAAGAAGTGTGTAGGTTGGACACGTTCATGTCCCTTTAAGAAGCTGTACCACCTTGAGCCACGTAAAAATGTGGCTCAACAAGATACACTTAACAGCCACATCTAGTGGAAACCTTTTGTTTCTGCGCATACCTGTAGTTATCGTCCATTTATCGTTAGAGGTGAAATCCTCAATATATTGTGATATTGATTTTAGGCCATATCGCCCAGCCCTAGCTTCCACTGCCTCAGATTCTGATGATCAGATCATCAGACTCAGCCTTTAGGGACAGAGAGCTGTGCATTGGACCACCACTTCTAAATATAACCTTTCAGCATGTCAGTACTTTTTCTAGGGTATAGTGCATACCGGTAAATTTTCCAGGTATTCATTAGTTGAAATCTCAGAGATTTTTGAAAAGATATCTGTGTGTCCTTTAACATCAGTCATCCACAGTCTGGCACGAGCTCCATGAAGGGCCGCATTTTGCGCAAAAGGCGCATCACTGCGGCGAGGCGCGTTGCGTGTCACCATCAGCTCAGGCAGAGAGAAGTTAAAACTGTTTCCCCACACCGTACACATTCCCGCAATGACTGACAGCAGCATCAGCTGACCGACCAATGGTTAAACGCTCTGATAGGCAGGTGCATCCATGGAGGAGAAACGGTTTCTAAACGGAAATATGGATCGTGAGCAAACACAAGACATAAAAGGAGTGCGCTTCACTTGAAATTTTGTGGCCATAAACATCCAGCTGCTGCTGATCATGAGACAGATGAGATGATAATTTTGACCTGGACTGATCTGGATTAGATTTCACATCAGCCCTGATAATCATTTAAGACATTTTTTGTTAAATGCATAAACCTTCACCTCTGGCTTATATTGTCTTTGACTCATAGCCTTTAAACCCCTAGTATTATTATTGGTGTTCATATGAACATTATGAGGAAAACATTCATATATACTGGTCTGTCAGTATATATGGATGTCAGAGATGTGTGCATCAGCAAAAGGCTTCTTCCATTGTTGAGGCGGTCCATTTAATCTGTGCCTACTATGTTGTAAACCTAAAAGACACTAATGATGCAGTCTCACACACACACACACACACACACACACACACACACACACACACACACACACACACACACACACACACACACACACACACACACACACACACACACACACACACACACACACACACACACACACACACACACACTTTTTTATGTCTCTGCTTGTGGTGTGATTCTCTTGACCCAGACATGTAGTCTGGTACCTGTTAGTCTTAAGTTCAGGTGGATGATGGTGTCTGGCCTATTTCATCTAATGTGCAGGAGGCACGTTTAACAGAATAAAATAGAATTTCAGTTTATGCAACATAAGTACAGATTATAGCAGCAGAACACAAATATTTATATTTTAGAGGAAAAAAATCAGGGCACATCTGAAGTTTAAATGTAGTTGTTTTACACTTTTACATCAGTAGGCGCCCAATCTGACCCACTTTTGGTGTTAAGCGTGAATTGAGTGGTGGCCTGGGATGGTTTCAAAATTCCCGGCCGGAATTAATGTCCCCCCCACCCCGTGCAGCGGCCGCAAACTCACTGATGGGCCTGCAGCCTCTCAGAGTTCCTGCTGCTCTATACATTAAAATAATTATTTCATTTTCTGTTCCTCACTTCTGATTACCTTCAATGGTGTCTGTTTGTTGCAACCACCAGGTACAAAAAGGAGCTTGTTTTTTATGTGACTTTTTTTCTCTCCTGTCTGTTTATTATCTTCCTGCATCTCCTCTCAATCCTAAAGAAAAACTGCTACCTGGGTTCATATTTTTTCACCTTATGAGTTACCTTTGAACTGCAGTTCAAAAAGATCTACCGACCGCAAAAATAGCGGAGTGCGCGCTGACCACACCGGTGAGGTGAATTCACTGGAGGACGAAACAGGTGATGCGCTCTGCACCGCAGCAGTAAAACGCACATGGCACAAATAAAAGACAGAAAGCATGAAAGGATATGAGCCGACATAAACGATCGCATGTTAAATTTGTTTTTGAGGTGGAGACACTTTGAGAATGTTACTGTGGCCGTGCTCAGGACGCATCTGTCTGGAGCGCGTCAACGATCAGAGCTCTGCGCCTCTCAGCTCTAAATAATCCCCGGAGAGTCCACATAGATAATGTAATATAAGTAGAACCAGGATCGTTTCGGGCTCCCCCTGGGTGTGTTGAGGGCTTCCAGGAGCTCCATAGCTCACCTGTAATTCGAATCCTGCTTATAGCACAAGTTTGTCGTGTGAGTTGCCGGATCCTAGCAGACAGTTTCCGGAACGGTCCTTTCAAAATAAGATAGTTCCCGGATCTAGTTCCGGCAAGATCCGGCTCAAATTAAGCCCTGCGCTTACACATTAGCATCGGCACAGCCCCAAAAGGTACCGAACAGCACTAGAATTTGGTTTCACACACAGGTCCGATTTACGTTTTCAGTGCCGAGGCGACTCTTTTCCTCAGACCTGCTCCCCAGCGGTCAGACTGGGACCGAGGCGACACTACGGACTGATTGGCCGGCTGAAGTTATGCCTACCGCCACTGATCTGCGAGAAGAATGAGCCAGCGGGGGATTTCCTGCATGCGCGATTCATTTTCATGCTGGATGCTGCTGAGTAAACTTCTGTCTGTAGCACGGAGCTGCCGTTAAGTGGGGGAACGGGAGAAAAGGATAGATGTGTGTGTGTGTGTGTGTGTGGGGGGGGGGGGGGGGAGCACAAGATTATGAGGACACACAGCAAATTAATAAAATAATGTGGTTCAGAGTCTCCAAAAGCAACACAGCTCATGTCCGCCTTTTGTTTACCTTATGGAGCCGACTTTCCTGCGAGTATTAAGCGCCGCCCACAGGCTCGGGGATTTCTGCATTCTTGAGAAGTCCCTCAGATTTATGTGTGATCACTACACCACCCGTACCAGCCCAAACTCACACCATCCAACCCGACCAAACGCAGACTGTGCCGACGCTAATGTGTAAGTGCCATGAAAGACTCACCTGGCTCTCCTGTTGGCTGCCCTGACTGGTCGCCTGCCTTAATCACTGTTTGGTACTCATCCAATCCACTGGATGTAGGAAGATGGGAACACTTTGTGGTTCTTTTCTGGGTCAAAAGTCTGTAAAGAAGAAAACAGAGGCAGAATGAGCAGAAACTGCAATGGAGATGCTTCAGGATGATCTTTAGGATTATTTAAGGCATGCTAGGTTTTATATTACTACAAAGGAGCAAACAGGTATGTAACAAAAGTTGATTTTTTTAAATAATTGTGTGCTTGTACAAAGAGTACTAAAGAACAAGTGATGGTAGCCAGCAGAAAGAGACCAGGAAGAACAAATATCCTAATATGACAACCCTTGGGTTTACCGTTAACCCTCTGGAGGCAGGCGTTGCAGATCTGCAACTGTTAAAACCTACCTACCTGGTTACTCCACATAAGTATTTCATGAGCATTTTTTAAACTCAGAAGTACCCCTGAAGGACTTAGTTGTTCGTCCTTTTATCAAAACTTATTTTGAGCCTGAGAGGGTTAAAACAGTTGGATGTGATGAAAATGCTTTTCCTTCCCAGCCAAGTATAAGGTTTCAAATTAACTTTTGAAAAAATGACCACAATTCCACACAGATAATTAACAAATAAATAAAAACATGGCTGTTGAAGTTCCGATGTGCTGACGATGTACACAGGTCTGTTTTGACAGAGACACCATAGTCTCTCACAGAGTCTGTTGAGCAATAACACCCCAACAGACCGGTTCGGCATATGCAACACTGCAGATGCTGCCCCAATCCGCCTGTGGATCTCCCGCTCCCTTCTTCCCTCACTCATGAACAAGACGCCAAGATACTTAAAGGGAGTGTAAGGAAGTTTGAAGTTTTTATGCTCGCGATCACCACTCAGGCCTAAAGCGTAACTGCAGCTTTAAAAGTAAGCTCGTGCACACTCCTTAACGAAAATAACAGCTGAGACAGTACCGCGCGCGTGTGTGTGTGTGCGTGCGTGTGTGTGTGTCCCGGAGGACAGAAGAACACAGCATATTAGGGCTGCACAATATTTTGAAAAATTATCATCATCGGGATGACAGGACGTGCGATAGGCCCATCGCAAAGCAAGTCAAAAACGGCGGTAAATGTTTGGTTCAACATTTCCATCCGTGTCATACGTGAACTTTTTGTAAACCAGCTCTGTTTTTTACGCTGAAGTATTATTTGACCAATCAAATGTAGCCCTTCTGGTATGCAGCAAATCAGATGGGTCCGTTCACGTAATATGCCCGCCCCTTACGTAGACCCTTAGGATGGAAAGCAACACCCGAACATTAGCGGCGGCATTCCCTTGTTCGTCATGCTGGCTTAGAGCAACGAACGCACTTTGTGCTGAGGCTTCTGGAATCAGCGCTGCTTTCAAACGTGAACGTGAGTCCGCTCGGTGTCGTTAATAATTTTTACCGGGCTGACTCCAACACGTGCCGGTGAACCAACCCACCTTCATGTCGCTAGTCTTCCACCGGGTGGTGATGTTAGCCCCAGGCTCCGGTTAGCTTCCAGTTAAAAGGCTACAGCACTCTCCTCCCAGTCCCACCCTGCTAAAGAGGGCCTGGAAAAGTTCCCCCACACATCAAAGTGATTTTTCATTTATGAGCTTTTATAACCTTGTTAATCAGGATAGTTGATTTGCTGCTGCACATAAACTGTCAATCAGAAGCTCTGCTAGCCGGTTATCTTAAGAGGAGCTAGTTCAATTTGTTATCTTGTTACCAGAATCATAGTTGCAGTTTCATCCTCTGAGCTGCTTTTTAAGATCTAGGTAAACTTGTTCAATTTGGGGATAAAACCAAACATTTTCACATATTTTCCATGCAGTTTTTTTTTGCCAGTTCCTCTTCTGAAAGGTAGACAATTGTTTTTCTCTTTTCCTCAGAAAATCTTAAGCCCCATTCCCATCTGTACCGGGTCGGCCCGGGCCGGGTAGCGTAGGTTGTTTACATATCTGGGTGGCCTGGAATTTTCCCGGGCCAACCAAGGCTCATTCTCGGCCCTCTTCCCGAGGGGTACTGCTTCAGGCCGACCAGGGCCAACACACCCACTGCTGACAAGAAATTCACACCTTCCATTAGAGCAAGCCTCTGATTGGTGGGTAGAGTCAGCCCATTCACACCTTCCATTAGAGCAAGCCTCTGATTGGTGGGTAGAATCAGCCCACATGGGCTTAAGACAAGGATGTGTGGAAACAACCGGTCCAGACTGGGGCCGACTGGGGCTACCCGGCCCGGGCCGACCCGGTACAGATGGGAATGGGGCTTTAATGTTCTCCTAGTTTGGCCCAACACAGTTCACTTCCCAATTACAGCAACAGCCTTATATCATAACCACATAAGTGGAGAAAATGCTCAGTAGCAATGAGAGAATTTGCTGTTGCATTTAAGTGATGTTAACTATTATTTAACATTTAAACTTATTTTCTGATTTTTTTGTATTTATTCAAAAAACCTGGTAAGGGATGTTTTTCTGTATTTGGAGCATCAGAAAGTTTATGGTGGAGGTGATGTTTTAAAGTCACTGAGAAACTGCATGCATGCAGTTTGTTGTTTTGCTGCTAATACAGTAGCAGGTGCAGCTGCATATTTTTGCACTAAAAATGTTATGTTGTAATGGAATTCATGCATTAGTTTTTGTTTGCTTTGAACCCAGAGCAGACGTCAGACGCCAGACGACATCAACACTGCATACCGTAAATCCTCTAATACAGGCCCAGGCCTGTATTTGACTCAAGCTCATCAAGCTCCAGGCCTTTATTGGAAGGAGGGCCAGTATTAGAGGCAGGCCTCTTTTTCTATTTGAGCAAAATGAACTAATGGTTCGCTGGAGTTTTTGACAATTAATATTGCGCCCACATTTTCAATGTTAAACACATTTCTTTTAACAACGGTAGTTTCTGCTTCAGCCCTCTCCCCCCTCCCCCTGTGCAGCGGCCGCAAACTCACTGATGCGCCTGCAGCCTCTCAGAGTTCCTGCTGCTCTAAACATTAAAATAAATATTTCATTTTCTGTTCCTCACTTCTGATTACCTTCAATGGTGTCTGTTTGTTGCTACCACCAGGTACAAAAACTAACTTGTTTTTATTTGACTATTTTTCTGTCCTGTCTGTTTATTATCTTCCTGCATCTCCTCTCAATCCTAAAGAGAAACTGCTACCTGGGTTCATATATATTCACCTCATGAGTTACCTTTGAACTGCAGTTCAGTTCTAAAAGATCTACCGACCGCAAAAACAGCAAAGTTCTCGCTGCTTGCCGGCCGCATCAGTGATCAGTGCGTCACCGGATGACAAGTTGATATGCCCCGCTCCACAGCGAAACGCATCAGGCGCAAATAAAAGACAGAAAACATCAAAGAAAATGAACCGACATGAACGATCGCGTGTTAAATAATTTGGCAACACCTGATTGTTACTGTGGCCGTGCTCAGGAGGCAGATTACCGACCGCAAAAACAGCGGAGTGCTTGCTGCTCGCCGGCCGCATCAGTGATCAGTGCGTCACCGGATGACAAGTTGATGCGCCCCGCTCCACAGCAAAACGCATCAGGCGCAAATAAAAGACAGAAAACATTAAAGGAAATGAACCGACATGAACGATCGCGTGTCAGTACCGACGCTCTGGCAGAGCGCGTTGCAGCCCTACAGCAAATTAATAAAAATAATGTGCCTCTGTCTCTGCAGCTGCACTTTCTCGTCGGCCAGCTGAGCGTGCAGTGTGTGTGTGTGTGTGTGTGGGGGGGGCACGGAGGACAGAGGACAGGAGAAAGCGCAGCTAATTGATTAAATAATTTGGTTCTGTACCTTTCTCTTCAGCACAGCCGACAAAGGTTTATGATGGGTCAGTCCTCCTGCATGCTCAGATCATTCCCTTCCCTTGCTTGAAAAATTGTTCCAAAATGAAAGTTGAACCCACATCTTTTTTATCCGTGAATTCAATGCCTTTCGGCGAGTCTCAAATAAAAATTCGTGTGTCTTATTACTGTAAAAAATATATCATTAATGTAAAAAGGAAACTCAAAATGACAAATTATGTTCACAACTGGAGTTGAACCCAGGTATGAGAGTCAGACATCTTACTGGGTGAGCTAAAGTGCCAATGACGTTCAATCTATCTGTAACTTTTATATCCTTGATTACACCTGAAACAACGTCAATCCAAAGAACGGTTCGGAGCAAAAATGGCTATTTTGTTGCTAATTTGCAGGAATTATCTAGAAGAAAGTTCTACAGAAAGCAGCTAAGGGTCCTCAGAAATGTAGCTAGGTTTGTCACTAGGCTTTAGGAATAGCGACAAAGTCGCTGAGTTGGCACTGCCTCTCTCTGCTGCTAAAGCTACGGATAGCAAATGCTACGGGCTATGCCTGAGCGTGAACGGGCATGAAGCAGCCTGCTCGACCCGAGCAGCTCTCTTTTTCTGTGATTTTACAGAAAAACACAATCACAGTCAAATTGCCAGGGCTCATTCTACAGGACCAGGGCATTGCAGGAGAATGTATGAAGAAGAAATTTATTATTTCTATACATGTTTTGACAGTCAAACTTCCTTATAGTCCCTTTAAACTCCACTTGAGGCAGATCCTCACCATTACTCCTTTCCCCGCTCTCATGGCAGATGCACGGCTGCGAAACGATCCACGAATGTACCCTCACTGGGAACAGCCCTGACTTAAGCCTAATTAATACTTCTCCATCTGAAGATTCAGACAATATTCTTGGATAATATCCACAAGCTTATGTTTGCCTCCAACACTGAGGGGATTCTGAGAACATGTCTGGAGCAGTGGTATCTCCCGAGGAAGCTCAGCAGCTATGGCAGGGCTCTAGGGTGCAACCAATTTAATTATGTTTGAAATAAAGAACTTCACATTTCCTAGATTGTTATTTAATCATTTACAAGTCAATACTGTCTACACAGGACCTGTAAACTTACAATGTTTAAAGCAATGTGGTCTAAAACTTAAGGTGTACTTTAATTTTCAGCAGTGAAACCAGTGAAAAAAAGTTAGTTAAGAACCCTGTTTGAAGTCAACAAGAACAACCTGAGAATGTTCTATTGCTCCTTTGTTGAGTGTGTCATAA